TGATCCGAATGTCACCTGTGGTAGCTGCTGCCACTCCCAAAGGGAGTGACCCCTTTCTCCTACTGGCCCACCCCATGGGAGCTTTGTCCCTGTATGAACTGGGTCTGATTTTGGATCATTATCTCTGCTTTCTGCATCACGTTGAGAAAGAATCATGGCTGAGAACATGGGCCGTGGTGACAGAACGACCTGGATTTGATTCTGACTCAGCCACTTACTAATTGTGGCCCCTTGGCAAGTCACTTCACCTTTCTACACTTCACACACAGTCCTCATCTCTGATGTGGGGACAGTAATAGTAAACACCTTCGTTTGGTGTGAGGCTTAAGTTGGATAACATCTTTAGGGTGCTTAACCTAGTGCAGCCGTGGGCAAACTACGGCCCGCGGGCCGGATCCAGCCCGTTTGAAATGAATAAAACTAAAAAAAAAAAAAAAAAAAGACCATACCCTTTTATGTAATGATGTTTACTTTGAATTTATATTAGTTCACACAAACACTCCATCCATGCTTTTGTTCCGGCCCTCCGGTCCAGTTTAAGAACCCATTGTGGCCCTCGAGTCAAAAAGTTTGCCCACCCCTGACCTAGTGCCTGGCTCATGGCAGGAGCTCAGAGTTATTAGAGGAATTCTGATTCCTCCTGCCCCGAGTTCCTGCCTTGTTGGGTTTTCTCTTCTTTCCACAAATAAGGTGGAAAATTGGTCCAATGCTTTGGGACTAATGGCATTTTATGGATTACCTGGGGCTGTGTTCCCACTTTACTGTGCGTTAATCATGCGACTGGGCAAGTCATTCAACATCTCTGAGCCTGTTTTATTATCTGTAAAATGGGAATAGTAACAGCACCCACCTCATGGGGTTGCTGTGAAGATGAACAGGAATCATGAACCTAGGGTAGTTGTCATAGGGCTTGGTACATACAGTACCTTCCAGAAATCTAGTCGTAGTGAGCACAACTTCACGCATTCATCCTGAGAAGTGATGTGGGCTTTATTGCGTCCACTGAGAAAAGTGGTAGCTGGTTGGAGGATGGAGATGCTGATGTGGCATTTTGAGAATCTCTTCTCAACTGCCTTTGAGATAGAAACAGATAGAAACTTCTCAATACTTAGGAAGGATCTGGATTAGCTGGGACTGTGATGTCTGAAGTTCTCTCTTTTCTTTGATGTCTGAAATGGTTGCTAATGATAATGTCTCAAGTCAGTGACTCAGTCACTGTGGACTAGCACGCCGGCTCCAGCCTGGCCCCTCCACTGACCGGCTCTGGGGATGACAAGCAAGAGATGTGAACTCACTAGCCCAGTGGTTGGCAAACTGCGGCTCGTGAGCCACATGCGGCTCTTTGGCCCC